AGAAAATCCTAGAAACGATCCCAGGAACACAGGGATGCAGTGTGGGAGCAGTGGGATCTGCCTGCCCATGGCAGGGCACCTCCAATGTGCTCTCCTCTCTCTGCACACAACGTGAAAACAGGACTTTGAGTGAAATCAGTATATTAGGAAATGCTTAACTTCGCCCAGTTTGGGTCTGTGACTAATGAGCAGGTCAGAGCTCGGCTCGCGAACAGAGGAGAGCTTTCAGAAGGGAGGATAATTGAGTCAATTATTGGGCTTTTGTGTAAATTGTCAGGGCAGATTTTCATTCTATGTGACATTCTGATTAAAAATAATTGTTCTTGGCACATTTTCTTCCCGAACACACATTCAGCTGAGCACTTCATAGAAAGTCCAGGCTGTGGAAAGGCAGCAGCTGTCTGAGACTGAGGTTCACCGTCATTTAGAAGCTGCAGTTTCGTGACTGTGAGTTAAATTTAGGCAAAGCAGAACAAGGTGATGTGAAACTTTAGGTCTATATCTGCAGGGAGTTCAGTCTTCACTCGGTGCTCACAGTTTAGCCAGAAGTTTTCCTGCTGGGATTGCTGTGTCTGAGGGATTTAGCCCGATGAGCTCTGAGCTCACCCAGTCTCCCTCCCTCTGTTCCACACTGACCAAGAAACTTGGGAGTGCAGCGTGAGTTGCTCTGTCTGGGTTAGATGTGGTCAGCACAGGTTTTCAGGAAGCTCAGCCCAGTGCTCAGTGCTGAAGGCAGATGTGGCTGAGGTATTTGCATGTCACCAAAAGACGTTTCCTGCTGTCACAAGATCTTGTGTGTTCTTCTAAATTCGTGTCAGCACCGACAACCACACGAGGGATTTCTGCTTAGAGCTACTTAATATATATTTACATGTGTAAGGCAAGAACAAAAACCACTTTTGAGGAGTGTGGGTGTGTGTGGATGACAAGTTTCAGAGGCCAGAAGAGCAAAACTAGGTTCAGCCCCTCTTGTTTTTTAGTTCCCACTGCAAACTGAGCTCTGTGGCAGCAGCAGCTGACTCCATACAGCATTCCCAGTGAGCAGGAGACAATCCCTTGAAAAGCCCCAGTCCCAACCTGCCATGTGCCCCTGGCTGGGAACATGAGACATCCTTCCAGAAAGACATGTCCACCCATGCTGGCACCTATTCTTGGTTGAGGTTACTGAGTTTTTAACACTGGATAGTCAACTTGCTGTAAAATTAGTCTCTGTCTTTGCAGACACAGCGTACAGACACCTGTCAGGTGTTTGCTCTTCTCTGCCATGCAAATGCTTTGCTAGTTGCTGGGCAATAACATTTTGGGGCTCTCACTTGTGTGCTAACACACCCCACTTATCACAGCCCTCTCACTGAAAAGTGTTAAAGACTGAGTTTTAAATGGTTTTCATGGCTCCAGTATTGGTAACTCTGTCCCTTTGGTGTTCACAGACTATTAGGTTTCCACACCAAAATGATTTCTCCCTGGAGACATGCACTTGTGTTTGCAAAATTCAAGAGGAGAGTCCTGCCCATCTCTCTGGCCTTCAAATTGGTAACTATCCATGGGTTTTCCTGCCGTGAGAGGCCTTATCCTCCTCTCTCCCTGTCACTGTGGAGCAGGTGGAAGGTGTGTGTGTGCTGCAGATGCTCATTTTGGCCTCCCTGTGTCTCCCACAGGCGACATCCTCTCCAGCATCAACGGCATCAACACCAAGGGCTTCAGTCACAAGCAGATCGTGGACTTGATAAAGTCTTCAGGGAACTACTTGAGGTGGGTGTTCCTCCTTCAGATGAGGTTTGGGTTAATATCCTGTCCTGCTGGGGCCAGGAGAGCTCCCTGTGCTACCCCACAGCCCTGTGGTGTCTTGGGGACAGAAATCCATGAGGTCTGGGCTGGGCAGAGCCTCTGTGCTTCAGGGGCAGCATCACCTGCTCTCCACAGGTTAGAGACTGTCAACGGGGCCCTGTTCCTGCGGAAAATGGAGCTGGAGACCAAGCTGCAGGTGCTCAAGGTAATATGATTGATTCATTACTCTGTTGTCAAATGCAGAGAGCTGTTGTGGGTTCACTGCTCGTGGGAGCAAGTGGATGTCCACGGCACTGGGTGACCTGTGGGTCACCTGTTGCCAGCACCCCCAGCTCCCCTCGCCCTGCTCCCTGCAATATGAGGAATAGAGAAGAAATGTGGCCATAATCCCAGGGCTGCCCAGGCAAGTTTAGGCTGGTCAGTTTGGGTGTAGGAATGTCTGGCTGCACTGTGCTCCCTGGATTGGTGGGGAGGTGCCTCCTGCAGCTGCCCCAGGCACAGACTCGCCTGTTTGGTGGGTGTTTTTAATCAGCTCTGCAGCAGTTTGTTGTACACCAAGAGCTGACCTGGCAGAGAGGGAGAGACACGTTGCTGGGCGCTGGATGGCTCATGGCACTGGGAGGTTGTAGGGCTGCCCCAGGTGGTGTGTTCCCAGCACAGGGCTGTGCCATCCCCATGCCACACTGTGGAGTCCAGGGAGGAGGAGTGGGTGTGCTCTGCTCGGTGCTCCAGAGCTGTGGAGGGATGCAGGGAGGGC